AGTTGCCTGTGCAGCTCGGGTGCCCCACACTGCGGCCCCCCATTGCCTTGACACCGGGATCCCCCGGGTTCCCCTTCCCAGGAGCCAGGTCCCTCCTCCCGCAAACATCTCGGTCCCCAACATCCCCCACCGGTCGCGCTCCCCTGAAGCTGCCCCCCCGATGTGCTCCCTTGGGAACACCCCCCAGCCTCACTGCCCACTCTTGCACCCTGGGCCCCTTCACCCCTGTCTCCCCACTGCCCCCCACCTCTCACCGCCCCCGTGTCCCCACAGGGCTCCACTCCCTGCACTACTTCTACGTTGCGGTGTCGGAGCCCAGCCCAGGGGTGCCCCAGTTCATGTCTGTGGGGTACGTGGATGGGAACCTCTTTGTGTGCTACGATAGCGAGATGGGGAGGATGGTGCCCCGGGCGGACTGGGTGAGGGGGGCTGTGGACTCCCAGTACTGGGACAGGAACACCCAGTACCCACAGGGGTGGCAGCACGTTAACCTCGAGAACCTGAACCCACTGCAGCGCCGCTACAACCAGAGCGGGAGTGAGTGCGGGCTGGGCTGGGGCTCCATGGGACAGGAGAGTTCCCAACCCCCCCAAGATCCTGCCCTGCCCCACGCTACAGCCCTGGCTTGTGCCATCCCTTCCCTGCCCAGTGCCATTGTCCCAGGGCTCCCAAAATTAAACCGCATCTGGAGGCACCCAGCTCAGGCTGGTCCTGCTGCTGCACCGCTCAATTAAATTACCTTTTTAACTAAGATTCGGTGCTTGAGACTCTGTTACGGGAAACGCAGGGTTCGAGCTGCGGGGGTAATACCGGCGCCCTGGACAGTGCAAATCGCCTTAAGAGTTGGGCGACCTGGATGGGACCCCAGGCCACCACCTCCGGACCCTCTCGTCTCCGACCACCCAAGTGCCAGCGTTGGGTGAGATCACCTGGGACCTCGGGAGCAGGAGGCGCCGAAGGGCGAGCGTGAACATTCCCTGAGCAGGCTTTGTGGAAACAGAGACGTTGTCTTGCTGCAGCTCCTGGCGGCGCTTGGCCTGATCAGCGTAAAGCGCCCGTGGATAATGACGCGGTGGGAAACACCCGGCGCAGGCAAGGGGATGCCCTTGGCCGAGGCACTACAGAATCGGAGAAGGGTTTTTGGAACAGCGAGTCCATCACAAAAGCGCCCAGGTACTTGGCGCCGAGAAGAGCGGCCGTGTAGAACTGAGGATGGAAACCCAGCGGGACGGTGGCCACCGCAAGGGAGCTTGGGCCAGCGCAGACTGCCCTCTCTGTGACATCGCCTGGGGGTAGGTTCCCAGCACCGATGGCTTACTGGGATGTGTGGGATGATTGGGCGTCGGAGAGAAAACACCCAAGGCGGGGGCGCGGGGTGGAAGAGGCATCGGCAGAGGTAGTGGGGGCTGCTGCCCCGGACGAAGGCACAGCCAATGCCCCAGCCGCATCCGTCCCGCCTCGCGCTCTTCCTTCGCCTTCCCGTTCTGCGCTGCCGGGCTCCTTCCTGTGGTTGCTGATGTCTCACCCGATCCCACTGCCGTGCAACAGGGGGTGGCGGGCGAAGCCCCCCCGAGCTGCGTTGGGTGTATTTACGAACAGCCTTGGAACGGGAGTGACTTGGCTCTGCGGGGCAGGAAAATGCCGAGACTGAGGGAGGATGCTGAGGGAATGTTTTCTAACCGAAGCTCTAGGCACGGACCCAGTTGGGGAGACACCCAGGTGTGGCTGAGGGGATTGTCCCGACCTGGTGCAAGTGCAGAAAGAATTACTAAGGATGCTGGATTAGCTGGAGGGGCAGGAGGAGACTGAAACTCCTGACTAGCCAAGGATCCCATGTGAGACTATAATAATGCAGAGGCTTGAGCGGCTTGTGAGACAGGGCTCCGAAATTGAGTAGAAGCCATTAGAGCACGTGGGGAACTGGGGGTAACTGGGAGTAAAGTACAAAATGCAGGCAGAGACCTCACGAGCATCCCAGTGATCTTTTGGAGGTGGCTCCGAGAAGCTCCGCTAAAATACAGAGGAATGACACGGCAGAATTTTAATGACAAGCTTGTGAGTCGCGTCTTTGTGGATCGTGTGGCCCCCAGTTGATGGAAACACTTGAAAGAGCATGTGCCTGTGTGGCAGGGAGAGAATTTGCAAAAGATTTGGAGTGTGGCTGTGTTTGTATGTGATGAGCAGGTTGAAGAAAGAAAAAAGCAGAAGAACAGGAGCCAAATTCACCAGCGGCAGCTTTAGTGAGGAATTTCTGAGTGAGAGACCGGGGGGGACTGGCATCGGGGTGTGGACTAGGAGTGGGAAAGAAGGAAAGGGGAAGGGGAAGGAATGCTGGAAGGGAGTGGTGTTGTGGGAACTTGGGACACAGCCGGTGGGAATGCCCGCTCCGGGTGTGGGAAGGGCTGAGGTGTCCCTGGGGTGGAGGTGGTGAGCTGAGAGGTCAGGTTGGTGGGTGCTGATAAGAAGGTCTCCTGCCCTGAGGTCACCCAAACAGTCACTGAGGTGAACGTCTGGTTTGGGGTCACGCAGACAGGCGCTGTGACTAAACCAGGGACTCAGCTCGGAACTAAAACGCTTGCTCTTGCAGTCAAGGGGACACAGTGGAAGTCCACACAGTGGACTCTTCCCCTGGGAGGGGGCAGAGGCAGAAACGACCTGGTCCCTCTCCCTGACTGGGCTGCGAGACCCAGGGAATGGTTTTGTGCGTCAGCCGGGCGAAGTCATTTGCTCCCCGGTTGCTCCGGTGCGGGGATGGTGGGGCCGACAGGCTGGCAGGGAAGCCCAGCAGCGGGGATCCATCGCTAGGGTGGGGATGCGAGGGGGTGCACCCACCCGCCGCCTCTGGAGGTGGCTCTTGCTGAGCGCGGAGGCAAAGTGTCGTGTGGAGGAAGATCCCATAACCCAGGGAGGCAAGGGGTCTACCAGAGAGGAAGGTATCCGGTCCCTGAGGGCATTCATGGTGGTCTGCAGTGACCAGGACAACAACGGGGCCCCCCAAGGTCAGGATGGCATCTGGCGCACACGGTCCGTATGGCGGATGTTTGCACGGAGCACACCGATGTGCGCCAGCAACCCGGCCGTGGTGGATGGGGCAGATTTTGTGGTGCCAAGGGCCCATGGACGGCTCTGCCGGCTTCAGCCACTCAAGGAGAACCGCTGTTCCCCCTCCCCACCACGGGCCTTTGTCTCAAGCTACGGACAGACTGTTCCCCCAGGTCCGGCCGCTCGACGAGAAGGCGGAGGATCTCCCTCCCGGCGCCTACAGGCCAGCATCTCGGCTACCAAGAGCCTGCTCGATGCAACGGGGCCCATGGGCGCGCACCGTGTGCCACCTGGTAGGGTTCTGTCTGCGTGACCGTGGAGAAAGGCCAGGCGGGTAAGGTTCGACGGTGGTAACGCACCGCGATTGTCATGGCCTGGGCAGGGCAGGGATGTCAGCTGAGCGACTCGCTCCTCTGGCAAGAACCAGCCCAAGGGTAAGAATTCTGGCCTGCCCTACAAAGCTCGTGAGGGGAGAGAACAGCTGAAAGAGGGAGCCTTGCGGCGGCAAGACGTCTCTGTTTTGGCTAAGGTGTGAGGAACCGAGCAGAAAAACACTTTGAGCATGAAACGCAAGGCTACGATGCCCTGGAGTGAAACTTTTGCTTAATTATCTAGAAAATTAGTATCACAGGTAACGCAGAATTATGGAGGTCACGCTACACGACTATGTTACTCGGCCTAAATCACGCTATACATAACCCATTGGAGGGGAAACAAAGAATTAGAGGCTAAACCCAGAAGAATAAGGGGTAAAAATTGGGAGAAAGGGACTGAAGATCTAGAAGAGGCGGTCAACGGGCTGTGGTCTTCTTCCTCCACCCGCGGCAGGGACGCCTTCTTGGTAAGAACCGCGCCTTCGCCGCAGCAAAGAACGCCCGGGAACACTTGGCCATTGGCATTATTGGAATGTATTGGCGCTGTTGCAGTACGTGCATTTATCAACAGCCGTTCCGTCCGTGTCGTACCTGTCACCTTAATAAATTACCCGTATTTGTGGAACTGTCTCAGTCCCTGAGAGGGCTCTGACAGGCAAACGTCACCCCCTCACTCGTAGCGTGACAGCAAAATTTGGCATCACGGACAGGATTGTCGTGGATAAATTGCTGCAAAAACCAGAAGAGTACACCGTCCCAAGAGGGAATGGAACGGGCCCAAAAATTTTGGAAAGATGAGGCCAACGTGGTAGAGCGACGAGAAAGCTGTAGGAGTGAGCAAAGCACCAAAGAAGGTAAAGGCAAAGGAACTGTTTGGGCGATACTGGGGGCTTGCTTACCTCGTGCGCAACAGGAATTCAAAAAAGACCCTTCCCCCGAAAAAGCTGCAGGGGTGGAATACGCTGGTTTGAAGCCAGAGAACGAAGTGTTGAGAACATCCTTGAACTTTGAAAGAGAGACCCGAGAGAAACTGGGGACACGGGTAGGTACTCTCACATTGGGAAATCAAAACCTAAAACCGGAGAGCAGGGAACTTAACATGCTACTGGCCTGAGCCCAGAGGTGAGAGAAACGACTACGGGTGACAGCAGGTCTCTTGCTAAGCCAGGTGGTCTCAGGTAAACAAATGCGCGGATTAACACCCTGTGCCGATCCCGAGCCGTGGGAGGGAAACCTCTGGGCCGATAACAACAGCGATGACCCAGCGGAAGACTCTGGTTGTGATCTTACCCCAGAGCCTGTACGGCGGCCGCTGATCACAACTGGAACGGCAAGTGACGGGGATGATGATGTTCGTACCACCGTCCGCACCGTCCCGCGGTCTGCTGCTGGATTGGCAAACCGGTGGGACAAATATTCCAGGAGGAGCCCGAGACAGAAGAGGGGTGCTGAGTCTCCCTTGCAGGGGGTGACCAGATCCTACTAAGTGAGGAAGAAGCAGGAGGCTACCGGGGCCCTGAAGTGTTTGGAACCACCTCAGCGGCGAATCGTAATTACTCGCTGACTGCACGGGGTGGCAGAGACCACGAGACGGAGGCGATGCCCTTGTGGTTGAGACCTCGGGGTTCTCCGGTGGGGCTGTGGCTGTGCAAGAGGCAGCTGTAGGAGAGGGATGAGTTCAGGAGATCCCCTATTGATCCGGCCAGATTAACGCCCCTTAGCCGTGGCCCCCCGGATGGCCTAAAAACATACGCGGCTCATGCTCAGGACCGCAGACCAACTACCCGTGCTCTGAACGCTGCTGCAGCTGCCGCCCAGCCTCCACGGGACCAGGTCCACGTAACCGCTTGGAGAGCGTTTGTACAAGAAATAGCGAATTACGGTCGGGCCGACCCCTGGGAAACCACCCAAACACCCCTGGCGAGTTCGCCAGGTCCACGCCAAGGAGCCAGGGTCTAAGCTAAAGTTTGGTAACGAACGTAAGGATCTTTGGCATAGAGCTGATGGGGTTAAATCACGGCAGTCCTTTTGAGCACCCCGCGTGGGGCTCAAAGGCCTTGAGACAACGACAGGCTTGATCGGCCCGTGCTACGCTGAATTTATCCGGGTTTAGCAGTCAAGGCCCTGAGAGGACTCTGACAGGCAAACTTCCCATCCTCACTCTCAGCACGACGGTGACCATGGAGAAGACCATGGAGAAGACGTGAGGAAGTGGCTTGGGGCACCCACCTCCGTCCTGGCAGCTCACAGGCAAGAATCGTGGGGACAATTAGCGGCTAAAGAGGGACCATCGAGGAAGACTGCTGCTGCAGTCACTGTAAAGCAATTCCCCGGGGGCAGCAGGTGAGCTGAGGTCACCTCTCCTCCTCCTGCGCCTGCTCCTGTGGATCTATGGCCATGGGAGGTCGAACCTCACGCCCAGCACCATGGAATGACCGTGCTGGACCACAGGAGGGCTGTACCTGTGACTAGTGCTTGCAGCAGAGCCTGGGCAAGGGAGACGTGGGCTCCTCTGAGGGCGAAAAGGTTTGTGATGACAGGAGTGGGTTAAAGAATGCTCTGGTCAGGACTCGGGTCCAGGCTGAGGAAAGAGACAACCAGATGCCACAGCTTCACAAGGGACATCTTCCCTTAGAACAGGCTGCTCCCAGGCCCGTCCCACCTGACCTCGAACGCTCCCAGGGATGGGGCGTCCGCAGCTTCCCTGGGCACGTCCAAGAGCCGTGTCCCTGGAGAACATCAACGCGAGCAGCAAGTAGACCAGGCGGCTAAAACCGGCGTGGCTGAG